ACTTGTAAACACACGATCGTGATCTAATACTATGGTACGAGGTAAGCCGTGTAGCTTGACCATGTGGTGTAAAAACACCTCTGCAACCTGTGAGCTAGAAAAATGTGGTGATAATGCCATGAAATGACCGTATTTAGAGAGACGATCCACCACCACGAGAATATTGCCTTGTCCTCGAACTACCAGTAGACCCACTATAAAATCCATGGCAATATCCTCCCAAATATGCTCCGGTATAGGAAGAGGGCTGAGAAGACCAGCAGGGTGTAATTATGAGAGTTTAGCCTGTTGACAAATGACACAATTATGGACAAAAGTGTGGATGTCCTGACGTATTTTAGACCAATAAAATAAGCGACCAATGCGCTGGAAGGTCCTCAGGTAACCAGAATGTCCTCCCAATACAGAGGAATGGAACTCTTCCAAAATCTTATGGATGAGAATAGCATCATCAGGGGGAATGACTAAACGAGCATGCCAGTACAAATCACCTTGACGTACATTAAAATGAGGGTCAACGGTAAGACCCTATTCCAGTTGTTGCTTCAGTTGGGTAATAAAGGAGGAAGAATGAACCGCGTTGTAAACCGTGTCCATGAAAGTATTAGTGATGGCAGAAAGAGCCATGTGGGTCGCACGAGACAATGCGTCGGTAGCTTGGTTATGTTTTCCAGGCTTGTACTCAATAGAAAAACGATAACCCAAAAGCTTCGGCAGACAAGCTTCTTGCTCTGGTGTTTGAATTTTCTGGTCTGTGAGGTGGTGTGAACTGGCATAATCAGTGCGGATAATAAACGGATGCCCAAACAAGTAATGCCAGAACTTGGCCACAGCCTCTGTAATGGCATAAAGTTCACGAGCATAGACTAACTGCGACTGCATCCTTGAAGACAGTTTCTTCGGGAAAAAAATGCAATTGGATGATTATCTTGGCTCAATACTGCACCTATTCCGCAACCTGATGCATCCGTTTCTAAGATAAATGGCTTAGTAAAATTGGGCAAAGCCAATACCGGTGCCTGAGTAATTGCCTCCTTTAACCCGAGAAACGCGTCTTGAGCCTCTTGAGTCCAGTCAAATGCGTCTTTACAAAGTAGCTTTGTAAGTGGGCCAGCCCGTTGTGCATAATTCTTAATGAAGCACCTGTAATATCCGCTTAAACCCAGGAATCCCTTCAGTTTAGAGACAGTAGTGGGCACAGGCCAGTCTTGCACCGCTTGAATTTTATCTGGGTCCATCTCAATTCCCATTGCCGAAACTACATGCCCCAAGTACTCTATTCGCCTCCGGCCAAAGGAACACTTCGACCGCTTCGTGAACAAGCGATGTTCTGTCAACACAGTCAACACTTGCTCTAGATGCTGTAGGTGTGCTTTCCATGATGAACTATAAATGAGAATATCATCACAAAAAAATCAGAACAAATCGGCACAGGAACAATTGAAATATAGTGTTCATCAAAGCTTGGAAGGTTGTTGGTGTGTTTGTCAAGCCAAATGGCATAACAAGCCATTCATACAAACCCATATGAGCCCGAAAAGCAGTTTTCCCCCGATCTGTACTCCTCATCAAAATTTGGTGGTATCCTGAACGGAGGTCAAGTTTAGAGTAGAAAACAGAGCCACAATGTGGGTTCAAGATCCAATGAAAGGGAAGGCCCAATGTCAAATGAAGAGCCCATTGCGGTCAGAAGGAGCACTCGTGCCAGGAAAAAGACCTGGAAGGTTTGCAATATGGAGGGAACGCATGATAAATAGGGATAAAAATAGTTAGGGAGGGTGGGCAGTAAAGGAGGAAGGTTTGCTTTTCCCCCGCTCGAATAGGTAGCTGCAGTATTCGTTACATTTCCTGTATATGGTACTATCACTTTGCTCTGTCCAACCCCTGCTACGGAAGGTCTCACCGATGTCGCCCTTGGTGTCGTGGGTCCCGAGAATAGTCGTGCAAGAGCCATAGCACTGAGTAATGTAGCAGGACGTTGAATCAGTACGTCCCTTTTTAGCTCATGTTTAAGTCCACCAATGTAACAGTCTATTAATGCTGACTCCGGGACGTCCTCCCTTCGGTTTGCGAGGGATAAGAATTTCTGGTTATATTCTTCGATTCTTCTGCCTAATCCCATTTGTGTCAGTTTAAAAAGTTGAGCTCGGGCACAATCAAATTGAGACGGCCCATATTGGCTTTTGACTGCCTTTGTCAAAATATACCAGTTGGTAATACGCCCGGCTTTTTCCATCATCTGAAACCATGGAAGGACATCGCCCACCATGTGTACTGAAGCAATGACCAGCCTCTGCGGATCCCCCACCTCATAATATTTGAAGTATTGCTCAGCTCTGTAGATCCAATCCAATGCATCGGTACCGTCAAATCTCGGGAAATCCATCTTAATCACTTTACCCGTAGTAGCCACATAGCTGCCCGATTGCACCACCGGACTATTAGGTTGTGATATGCTATCCTTTGAGCTCGACGAAGGTAACTGTTCAACCCTCTTTTTCATGTTCTCCATGGATTGCATCAGACCCTCCAACTGATCAAATCGGCAGTCGATCTAGTCAAATCGGCCCTTAGCGTCGTCAATGAACTCATTAGCCTTCTGCATGTCTGCCTGCAATTCCTTCATCCAAGTGTTGTCTGCCATGATCTGATGCCCTCTCAATCAAAGCACCAATTTGTAACGTTAGCGTAGTTGCAGAAAATGAATGGAACAAAGTGTTGAATAAGACTCGTAATATGTTGATAATGCTCAAATAACGCAGATGCTACAGAGCTATTTAGTGATGAAAATGCATAAATGAAATGAGAGTAACAGAAATTACAAACTGTCAAGACAAAATAATAGAAAAGAGAGAGAAGGACCGGAGAGAGGAAAGAATACAACCAAAATCATCCACACCCTCCCTAACCGTTTCTATCCCTATTTATCATGCGTTCCCTCCATATCGCGAACCTTCCAGGTCTTCTTCCTGGCACGAGTGCTCCTTCTGACCGCAATGGGCTCTTTGTTTGACATTGGGCCTTCCCTTTCATTGGATCTGAACCCACTGCACCTGGATCTGTTACAATGGTCCGGCATGAAGCATAGAGCATATTTTCATTGACAAGTCTACCTTCATTCTTATAAGTATAATTAATTATTTTTCATATCCATAATATAAGATTTATTCAATTAATCTAGATAAATTAAATAAGCTAAATAAATTCTTTAATTCTTTAAAAAAGTTTAACACAACCTTCTTAAAATAGCCCTATGTGTCATGTCATATTATATATCACTTTATAAGCTGAATAAATTAGTTTAAAAGATTCAATAAATATAAAAGATAAAACGAATTAAATCTTACATTTAAGATTAAAACTAAATTCCTAACTATCTTTAACATTTAAAATGAGAGGAGTGGATTTTTTGGGCCCCCAAAACCTAAGCCTATCAGATTTGCGCATAACTCAAAGGCGGTTGGGTCATGATATTGGACTGAACCCAAAGACAAATTTTGTTTACAATGTAAGAAGTTTGAATATTGACAAAAAAAAGAGAGAGAAGAGAAGTTTGTGGTTAAATTTGGAAGGATAATCAAAAGATTTAAAGTTTTTAAAATATATTAGGTTAAGTAGATTACAATTACTAGTACAATTTTACTAATTTAACTCTTTTTTTTAGAGGTTAACTGGGTTAATAACTGAACAGCCATATTATTGGTTCTAATCTTACCTCATAATCGGTTGATCTGATTTTCAACTCCACGTAAAATTAACATTTTAACCAAATGTAGTGAATCTGTGATGGGAAAAGAAAAATTCATGGACCAATATTGAAATTGGTAAAAATTAAAAATAGGAGAATTAAAATGTCATTTTTCCATGTTATTTTTACTCAACAATTTTTATTCATGTATTTATATAGGATTTAAATCAGAGTCATGCAAACCATGAGCATGGATCAATAGTCAATACAATTGTTTTTATCAGGAAAAAAATAAAGATAAGTTTCAGGTAAAGTTTGAATATGAATAATAGGTTTTCCGAAAAAATTTGTGTAAAAAATTAGGTTGTAAGTTTTTTTTAATTTAACTTGTAACGTAGATATTAAAATTGGACTTTCAGAAATTTTCCGTTTTTAATTAATGAACCGTGACCGCGCGTGGACGGCAAATGCCGATGCTTAAACCCTTGGGCCTTGGCACTTGCGTCACACTCCTTCGACGGCGCCGCCCCTAGCAGCTGGAAGAATTTTGGGCTTAGCCTCCTACGGCGGAAGTCGAGCAGCTTCAGTGTTGAAGTGTTGGCATCTTACTTCTCTCTTCTGTTGATCAGGTGCCTAGCTTTTTCGTGTTTCTCTCTTCTCCACCGTATTTTTCTTTTGTCGACCGCAGAGCTGAAATTTGAAATGCCCAACCCAGAACTAGTCTGTGATCCTGTCCTCATTCTCAAAAACTCGAATTTGTCGGTTCTTTTTATTTGGTTTTCGAAAACTGAGTCATTTGTTTCTGCTTTGTTTGCCGTGGTATTCTTTCATGGTTCGTCCATCATAGTCTGCTGAATCTTATTTGCTGTGTTTTGATGTCAATTGAATATAATTTGTTTAATGTTAGGGCTCTCCCTTTCTTCAACGAGTAAATTAGTATCCATGAAGGTCTCTGCCATGCCTCTACATACCACACCACCAAAAATTGATTCCAGATGGAGTTAGATTCTTTACACAAGTTGCAGAGGACCTTTTCTTTTTCAATTCCACGCTGCTGAGGATTTTCTTCATAATAAGTTCTGTTTCAGAGGAAGCGCGTTGGGAACCATTCTTTGGTAATTGACTAAGGTTCATCGTTGAGTATGTGTGTCACTTTTTCTCCTGGAGAATGCTTGAGCACATCAATTTATCTGAACTTTATCTTCCCTTCCTCTGTTTGCTACATTGGAGGAAAATTTTCGTGAGCAACATTGATTTTGTTAGAACAAATCTCTTTTATCGTCCGTTGGGGAAATACACAATCTAGAAAGCAATGAAAAAGATTTCATTTCGTCAATTTTCAGCTTTAATTGATCCATCAGCTGGCAATCGCGTTTCCATTGAATCTTCAATTCCTCATAAACCGAATATAAGAGTTTCAAGCCCATTCCCTATCCCTCATCGAACAATACCTGAACCCAAAGGACAGGATCTTGATTTTGTAAATGTAGCTCACAGCCACCTAATTCACTCAGACGGGGCCAAACTAAACTTATTATCATCTGGTCTAACAGGTTTCAGGGTTAAGCATGTTCTGCTAAAAATTCAAAGAGACCATGTACTCTCACTTGAGTTTTTCAATTGGGTTAAAAGTCATAAGTCTGACTCGCTTACCCTTGAAACCTATTCCATACTTGTCCATATTCTCACCAAAAATCACAACTTTAAATCTGCTGAATCCATTTTGCGCAATATTCTTGCTTCAGACGTCTTTAGATTTGCCTTCTAAACTATTTCAAGCATTACTGTATTCCTACCGTACATGTGATTCTTCACCTAGGGCTTTTGACTCTCTTTTCAAGACTTTTGCTCATATGAAGAAGTGCAGAAATGCAACTGACACTTTTTGCCGGATGGAGTATGGGTTTTTCCCTACTGCTGAGTCATGCAATGCATATTTAAGCTCTATGCAATTTATAGTTTTGTCCTTCTATAATGCAATGCTTCGTAATCGCATTTCACCAAATGTTTATACAGTCAATATGGTCATGTGTGCTTATTGTAAATTGGGAAAGCTACAGGAGGCTGTTGAAATGTTGGAGACGGTGGAGAGCAGGGGTTTGAGCCCAAATATTGTTTCATATAATGTTGGATGAGACAACAAAGGGAGATGTTAGAAAGCGCAAAAAAAATATTTGTCACACTACAAAAAAAACAGGTTATTACTAACAGAATTAGTAACCGAAAACTATTCCGTCGGATTAGTAACAGAATTTCTATCTCTCACTAAATTTCATCTCTAATCTATTGAAAAATCCATCAATAAATATTTAGTGATGGAATTTTTTCCGTTAGAAATTTTTGTTGCTAAATTGTTTGTCATAGAAGTTTCTGTTACTAATTCCATCACTAATTGTATTCCGTCGCAATTTCGTCGCTAATCTGTCACTAATTTTAAATTTTATTATTTTAGATTATAATCTTACAACAATTTATATAATAAAAATTAAGAATATAATGATTTAAAAATATTTTTAATTATAAAATAAATTGATATATTTGTGGAATTGGTGTTAATGAAGATATCGTCATCATTCATATCATCATTAGATATATATTGAAAATAGGAAAACAATTTCTTAGAAAACTTGTTTATATTTTGTTAAAATAAATTCCTCTTGATTATTAATAATAATTAAAAAATATAATAAGAATATTAATAACTTTCTTATACAAATAGAAAGAAATAATTTTATCATATATATAATACATTGAAAGATATAATATATTATAGAAATTCAAAACTGAAAAGTGAATTTATATGAACACAAACTAATATTGAAGTAAATTTTGAAGCTCAATCATTAAACAATAAAATTTAATCATGAAATAATTAATACTCATGATATATATTGATTTTGGTCTTCAATACAAAAACAAATGGTATATACAAAAAATTTTAAGAAAACAAATTATATAAGATATATATGCAAGTAGGAGAATATTGTTTATCATAATCTATTCAAATCATTTAATTTTTTATATAGAATAATTTACTAGATTTTATTATAGTAGTTATTTTTTGAATAACAAGATTTTTTGACTAACTATAAATGGTTTTTGTTAAATATATAAAAGACATATAGATAATATAATATAATGTAATATAATACGTATATAATTAAATTGTATATCTTATCAATGTTAATTAAAAAATAAATTTAAAAAAATATTTATAAAAAACTTATTTATGATTTAAAATTAAAAAATAGTGTCATTAGGAATTAAAATTATATTGAAAATATTTTTTAAAAATAAAACATTATAAAATAAATAGTAAAAAAATATTTAAAAAATATTTTGTGATTAAAATATTTATGATTAAAATTATTATATAGTTTATTTTTAGTTTTTAATAACATATATTTGTATATAATTGTTTGTGTAAAAAAATATTATATATATATATATTCAATTTTACATAATAAATCAATAGGTTCATTACAGCTCAATTGATAAAGCCACACGCCCTCACAAATGAGGTTCTAGGTTCGAGCCATGGAAAAGTCACTTTGATGAGGGAATTATGTGGTGGCAACATATGACAAGCAGAGGTGACATGTGACGTGATAGCACATGTGATAGGCAGAGGTCACGTGACATTTTAATTTTTAATTTTTTTAAAATTGGGTTAGCATTAGTGACAGAATTTTTCCTTGCTAATTTGTGACAGAAATTTTTGTTAATAATTAGCGACGGAAAATTCTGTTGTTAATCCGTGGTTAATTAGCGATGAAATTAAAATTCTGTCACTAATCCATGACTAATTCTATTACTAGTAGCATGTTTTTTTGTAGTGTCAACACAATGAATATAAAGTGGAGGCTTCGAGTAAGGAGTCATGACATAAGAGTTGATAATCCAATAAAGTGGCGCACACGGTACTCCAATGGTCGTGTTCATCTAAAAGAAAATATTTTAATGTTGGATGAGACAACAAAGAGAGATGTTAGAAAGCGCAAAAAAAAAAAAAAACATTTTTCAACACAATGAATATAAAGTGGAGGCTTCGAGTAAGGAGTAATGACATAAGAGCTCATAAGCCAATAAAATGGAACACACAATACTAGCAATGGTGGTGTTTCTCGAAAAGAAAAAATTGTAATGCATTTGACTAGAATAACAAATTCTTGGTTCCAAGCTAATCTCAAACATCGAACATGTGATATTTTCAATGGCGCATCCACATATACATTCTACATTGTTGCAAAATGTCACTTCTCTTTCATGCTCCTTTTGCATTGGTATTTTCGCAAATAAAATTTGTATTTTTTTTAATTTTATACGCTAGTTTCTTGAGAATTGGGGTAATACTGTAATAGGTAGAACCGTTATTAAAAAAAAAGTCATTTTTAACCAATTTAAAAAGACATTTGTTTTTTTTAGCACTGAATAATACTTCTATTAAAAGACGAAAGAGAGTACATCCACTAATCAAGAAACCAAAAAGAGAAACAGTAACGAAACTGAAAAGGACCAAGGCGTCCAAGCAAAAACGTAGTAAAAAGAGAGAACTATACTCATCAATAAAAGAATCAGCCTATGCCAGTCCTATTGTGTACTTCGGCCTGTAAAATCTCAATGTCCTGTAACATCAAAAAATTCAGAGAGGGTGGTGGCCTGAATAGCCATCCTTGTGGTACCAGTCCCCTCATAACTTCAGCTGCCACACAGTCTGCAGCTTTATTGCCCGTCCAAGCAACAAGAGAAATATCCCAATATCTACACTCTTCCGACTTCAAAATAAGCAAGCACTTTTGCACGATATCTACACTACCCCATTCACAGCCATCCACCTTTGCTTTCTTTAGTCTGTCATAAAGACCTTGACAATCTGTTTCCACAGTCACCTTATTACCACCCCATAGATCACGACAATTAAGTGCCTCAAGCATAGCACAGCACTCAGCTTGGAATGTTGACCCAGCATCAATCAACTTGCCTATTCCTCCCAAAAACCTTCCTTCCTAGTCTCTACCCACTACCCCAATCGCTGCCTTCATAGAGTTTTTACAGAAAGCAGCATCTACATTTACCTTCACATCTCCCCACTCAGGTCTCTCCCACTTCAGCTTCCGATCAAGCCTGTGATTTACCATAGAGATTCGACCCCTTCTTTCACCTGCATCCTAGTAGTCCCTCACTAACCTCATAGCACCAGTAACACAGAAAAAGCCATCTTCGTCAATGTGTTCATACAAGAATTTACACCTGGAGTTCCAAATTCCCCAGCATATGCAAGCGAAAAGAGCTAGAGCAAAGTCATCAGGACCTTCCTTCAACATCATCCACTCCTCCAGCCACTTGTCAAACCTTCCCACCTTATATCTATCGAATCTCAGCGAAAGAGGAGATCCAAACCAACACTGAGATGCCCAAGGACAAAGGAACAGCAAATGCTCCACTGTTTCTGCCTCTACCTTGCAAATCTCACAAATCGGATTATTAGCACACTTCCTCTTGAACAGAGCATCCTTTGTTGCCAAAGCCCCATTTACTACCCTCCACAGGAAATTATTAACCTTTGGAGGGACTCTAATCCTCTATATTCCATCCCAAAATAGCTTAGAAGGCCGAAAAGAGCTACTGGGACTAGCTTGATCCTTTCTTCTCTCCTTCTCCCAAGCTACCTTATATCTGAGCTTAACCGCATACTCTCCATCTCTGCTCTTTAACCAAACAATTTTGTCAGCAGATTGAATCAGAGGGAGCCACACTTTACTAATCTTCTCCCTGTCATCCTCGTCTAACCATCCATTTCCATCCTCTAAACTCCACTCACCATTTCTGATCAAATCTTTAACATATAATTCCTTCATTTCTTCGCTCAAATTTCTGCTTTTCAACTTAAAGTCATCACAAGCAGGCAACCATTTATCAGTAAAGATCTTGATCTTCTCACTGTTTCCTACTTTCCAACACAAATCATTTATTAGCAATTCTCTTCCTTCTAAAATGCTAATCCACCCCCAAGAGGCCTTGCTACCTCTCTTCGCGTGCAGAAAATCGTCCTTAGGAAAATAAAGACCCTTCAATATCCTACACCAAAGAGCCTCTGGATCTTGAATAATTCTCCAGGCTGTCTTAGCCAAAAGGGTCTTGTTGAATAATTCAAGATCTCTAAAGCCCATACCTCCTTCCCCTTTAGAGCTACTCAGAGATTGCCAAGCCTTCCAATGTATACGCCTCTCACTCCCTTTCTGTCCCCACCAGAACTTTGACACCATACTGTTTAGCTCTGTACAAACCTTCTTAGGGAACTTAAAGCATGACATTGGAAAGATAGGGATGGCATTTGCAACAGCTTTAACCAAGACCTCCCTACCTGAAAAAGTAAGGAGCTTTTGCTTCCATCCCTGTAGTTTCATCCCCATTTTGCACTTAACAAAGGCTAAAGCATCTAATTTTGCCATTCCCCAAATCATCGGCATACCCAGATATTTGCCTGGGTTATCAGTGTCCCTAATCCCCAAAACTTCAAACATTGTTGCCTTAGCCACAGTACTTGCATTCTTTGAAAAGAAAACGCATGACTTATCAAAGTTCACAGCCTGACCAGAAGCACTGCAATAGCAATCAATAATCCTCTTCAAGACTCTACAATTATGCCGCCTTGCATTGATGAAAAAGAGAGCATCATCTGCAAAGAAGCAATGTGACAAAATTGGACATCTTCTAGCTAGTCTGATTCCCCTTAACCTATTGTAATCCACATGCCACTGAATCATCTTTGACAACACATCAGCTGCAATGATAAACAAGTAAGGGGATAAAGGGTCACCTTGCCTAATACCCCTTGACATGCCCAAGTCTGCAACCTTTCTTCCTGCCACTACCAAATTCAAGCTAGCCGAGGAGATGCACTCCATTACCCATCCAATCCACCTTTCCCCAAAGCCCATCCTCCTCATGACCTCCTTTATAAATTTCCACTCAAGCCTATCATAGGCTTTATTCATATCTATCGTTACTGTTATTTCTACCTTTCCTCCTTTCTTCTTGTTTTTCAGGTAATGGAAGGCTTCATGAGCAACCAATATATTATCTTGAATTAGTCTTCCAGCCACGAAAGCCCTCTGGTTTTCTGAAATCACTTTCATCATGATAGGCCTCAATCTATTGGCTAAAATCTTGGATATTATCTTATAAACAAAATTGCACAAGCCAATAGGTCTATACTGGCCAACCTATTCAGCATTCACCACTTTAGGAATTAAAACTACATTGGTAGTATTTAGGGGGCCCAAACTTACAGCGTTCTAGAAAAAATCTACCACCATCTCTATTACCTCTTTACTAATCTCCCCCTAAGCTGTTTGGTAAAAAATTCCAGAAAAACCGTCAGGCCTCGGAGCTTTCATTCCATTCAACTGAAAAGCTGCAGTCTTTATTTCTTCAACCGTTACCATTCTTTCTAAAGCCAACCTATCCGCATCATTAACATTTTTGTTAACAAAACTCAACACCTCCTCCATTCCTCCTCTTCCATTAGATGCAAATAACTCAGAGTAAAAGTTGATAAAAGCTTGATTGATATCCTCCTGCCTTACCAACCAATCACCATTATCATCTCTTAACTTGCACACTTTATTCCTCACCCTTCTCTGCACAGTACTGGAGTGAAAGAATCTAGTGTTTCTGTCACAATCGTTAAGCCAGCTTACTCTGGACCTCTGCCGCCAATACTTCTCTTCCCGGTCCCAAGCTTCTTCAATTTGTCTAGTGATTTCTTCCATTCTAGCCTTCCTTTCTTCATTCAGGATGCCCTTATTGCAGTCACCGAGTTTCTTAGTCAATTCCTCCACTAATTTCTTTGCATTCAGAAAGGTTCATCTTCCCCACTTAACCAGCTCTTTCCTGCACTTCAAAAGTCTACACAGAATTTCATAGACCTTATTCTCTGCATCCCCTCCACCAAACCTCCATCGCCTCCTTACTACTGAAAGAAACTCTTCATGTTCTGCCCAGAATACCTCAAATCTGAACGGTTTAGGCACCCTTTCATATTTAAAATCACAGTTCAACAGAAGCACATGATGGTTAGATCCAACTGGCTCAATGTGAGTCACCGTAGCATGTTGAAACTCATCTATAAATTCATAGTTTGCCACAGCTCTATCCAGACGTTCCTTCACATGATCATCCCCCATCCTTTTATTACACCAGGTGTAGGAAGACCCCTTAAACCCCAAATCCACCAACTAGCAATCAGACAGCATTCTTTGAAAATTCAAGATTCTTCTAACATCTGCAGGCCTGCATCCCCACTTCTCATCAATAGAAGCAATGTCATTAAAGTCACCAATACAGAGCCACAGGCCATTAATGTTGTCGCAATGTTCCTAAGCTTGTTCCATACTGCTAATTTCTCCTCCACCGTTGGAGCCCCATACACAAAGGTAATGAACTTAGGAGCTTTAATAGTAGTAGAGGTAACACTCACATGGATCAGATTCTTCGAATTGTACCAAATGTAAATCACCACTTCCTTCTGCCACCACAAGGCCAATCCTCCACTCCTCCCTCTTGGCCCAACATAAAATTCCTCCTCCAACTAACACCTATTTCTCAACCTCTGCATCTTTCCATCCTTCATTCTTGTTTCCATTAGGAAGACAATTGAGGGCTTGTTCTTGAAACACTCCTCCCTCAACTTTCTAACTGTCAGAGCCCTTCCTAAGCCCTGACAGTTCCATGATAATAACATCATTGCCCCTTGGTGGCTGTTAAAGGACAGCCACCACAACCCTCATTAATCTCCTTCAGCAAACCCCCACTTACCTCCTCTCCACTCCCTACTTCCTCCTTACTTCTCGCCATATTCCCCTTACTATCACCACTTATGCCTCCCTTCCTTCTAGTCCCTCTCCTTATCCTCCCTTTTAGAACCCACACACATCTCCTGCCCTCATTCCTCCGTATAGATTCGATGGGTGAATTTTCACAATTTTCCACTATATTAAAATCAATCCTTCTCTTCTTAATCTCCTCTCTCCCACTATCTTCCTCCAATGGCCTCTTCAGCTTAACTTTCTTAAGACCTGCTACAACCTTAGACATTGGAGATTGAGTACCATATATCACAATGGCCTTTGATAAGTCTTCCCTCTTCACCAATGGAGACTTGACCTCCTTATCATTAACCAGAGGAGTTTCCACCGCAAGTTCAATCCCTTCGTTACTTTTTGCAACTTCACTGCTCTTCACAATAATAGAAACATCGTTTTCCACCTCCCCTTCCCTTATTATTGTTCCCTCCTTCAAAGCCTCCTCTACACAGTCACTCTTAGCAGGTCTCACATCAGTTTTCGCTTCACCTCCCCTGATAACATCCTCACTTCTTCCAGCGTTTCTCACATCAGCATCCTTCCCCTTCTCCGGACACTCCACCCAATCACTCCTACAGCATCTCACAGTATTCTCAATTGGTCTAGCAGCTTGAGTACTCAACCATCCTCCATACTTCAATTCAGCCTCAGACTCCTCATCCTCCACATACGTGCAATTCCTCTGATCGTGCCCAATTCTTCCACACTTATAGCAGAAATTCTATAACCTCTCATATCTAGCCTTGACCCACACTGGATCCTTATTTGGTCTTGGAGTCCACATTCCACTAATCAGTGGCTTTCTTAAATCAACAATCACTCGAGCATGTAGAAAGCTCCGTATCAACAGATTATTCCTCCGAGGATTCTCCACCATTACCACCTCACCGATCATCGATCCCAATGTGACTGCATTTTCCTCATCTATTGCTCCTAATGGCACATCTTGAAATTGAATCCAGAAAGGACAGTAATGGAAGTCGACCTCCTTATAGATTGTAAATTCCTGCCATTACTGAACATTCAGCAAGATTCCTTGGATCGACCATGGCCTCCCTCTCAGGATCCTCAAATAGTCATCGCGTCTTCTAAATTCGAAGCTAAAAGCGTTCCGATCTGCATCTGTTATCTCTAGATCTGAAGTCCTCTCAAGGTTCCAACCCTTGCAAATCATCTGAATCGTGACCAAGCGATTAAGGTGCCTATCGGTCATTAATTTCTGTACCAGCGCACCACCACACAGCTTCCTCTTATCGTTATTCCACCAAGTCAAGTTCACAGCCAACTCTTCCTTCTGATTGCAACTTCTCGAACCTCAGAGAAATTCCCTTGAACTTCCTTCCATTTCCTTCGAAACTCCACCTTATGCCTTCTGAACCTCACCACTTCAGGACTATCACAATGCGTTATAGCCTGAAACTCTCTTTACCTCCGTCGCAGTGGGCGGCGAAGGGCTCTCACAACTACGACGATAACCGTCGAAAAACCACCTCTCACTCGAGAGAGAGAAAACTCCCACAGAGGAGAGGAAAAAAATTTATTAAAAAGACATTTGTTAAGAGGTCATTTTAAAAAGAGTTTTTATGGATCCAGATTCCCTTGAAATCCCTCCTCTCATTTTTTTGTCAGAATTTCATCTCCACCGTTGGATTAAAAAATGAATAGTTTAGATTAATGGATATCCACCTTCTCTCTTATTTATTTACTATAATAGTAATATTTTTCAAAATATTAAATCTGAATTATTTATTTTTTAATTCAACGATAAAAATCGGATTTTAGAAGAAAAAGACGAGGTATTTTGAGAGGATCTCCTTCCATTTTTTACATGCTACAGATGGTCTTGTTACAAAACCCAATATTAATAAATAATATAGCTAATTAACTTCTTGTTTCCTTGCTTTAAGATTTTTAAGCCAATAAATTTGTGCATACACCCTGACTTTTTATTTTGTACCCAAAAAAAAGTACAAATCAATTGTTTAGCTTTCTTCCAAAGGCATATTTGGATCCCATTGCCACCTTCCATATATTATCCTATACTATCTCAAGTCTAGTTAATTAATTTGAATAAATTAAGAAAATAAGTTAAGTTAGTTATTTACAATAAATAAGGATTATCTTTCTTAAAAGATCCTTGTAAATCAATTTTATTGACTTGAACCACTATTATTAAAAGGATTATCTTGAAAAAAATGGATAAATATGAAAGATAAAATAGACGGGGTTTTATATTTATGACCAAAATAAAAGTCAAACAAAATCTTATATTAAGTACCGGAGGCAATATTATATTTAAATGTATCGTTATCACTTGCAAAATCGTGGGTGGAATAATAATTTTTTCATGAAGACTTTCTAGATTCAATACTATTTAATTAGTCATATTGCACTAAGGAAATGCGCAGTTTGAGATTTTAAGTCGAAAATGTTAACATGAAAACTTGAACACGGATCCAATACTTTTTTCCCCCCCATAAATCATATACTCATATACTCAATACTATATTATCCTATAGTATTGCCAGAAATTTATAACAAGTCAGTTTTCCGTAAGCAAAATGATGGTAAGTATACAAAAATACTTCAGCTTGAATAATTGAGATTGAATTTTGATTGATTTTGTTTTATTCTTTCTCTTGAAGCTGTTAATTAAGCCTTTGATTTTCTTGGGAGTCATATAATCAATACCAAATAAAGCCGTTGCTAGGGTAAGGATCATAAACGACTCTTTGATAGTAAGGAGGCGGAGGAGGATAGTAGGAACTATAATATCCCACATATTCAATTGGCTTCACTTCTTCTTCTTTCTTCTCCTCTTCTGGTTTCTCATCTTGCACACTCACAATTGTAGCATGTCCTAGCTTCTTCCTTAGCACATTCGTCAACTCAACCGAGTCAACTCCATCACCCGTTACCACCAATTGGTCTCTTCCTTCTCCTTCTATTGACACCGAGATCACTCCTGAAACACGATATATTATTGTTGGGATGTCAGATGTGAGTGAAATTCATAATGATATATATATTAAAAATGAACTTAAAACTCCAGCGAATCTAATTATATATGTACTACCTTCGATTCTATTTATAAGACCTCGTTCGTAGACTATAAACAAAGTCTTATAATTAGAACCAGAGGTAGTATCTTTCTAATTATCATTCCTGCCAGCTCAATTTATATTATTATCATTATTAGAATCCCTGTTTTTCAAACCCAGAAACGTTTTTTTTAAAGAAATTCAGAACGAGAAGAAGAAGAAAATTAAATGTTGGATTCAAAGTCACCTGCTCTCACTGCTGCAATTTTCATGGCCTTGCTTCTGCATTTCTCATTGCGGACTTCCACCTTTATAATTATCTTTTTCTGAACCAATCACAAAACACATATATACTTCAATCGTTACACAGCTCCACAACTAAAATTAGCCTGTGTGTGGGATCAAAAATCAGTTTAGAGTAAACTCACCGGCATGTTGAATTCTGAAACAAGCTGATGGAACACAGTATATAATAATCTAATATTTCAGAGGTTGTGCAGAGAGAGAACCTTAAATTCTGATCTGGTTTGATGATTCTGGGTATAACTGAATACAAGTGAGCTTAAATACACGCACTAAGTGGTGAGATTTATTTGATTTTTTTAATATTGACCTCAAGGTCGCCGAGAGGTAAACCAAAGGTCCAAAACTTGCAATTCAGGTCAAGAGATGGGTACTTGATGAGTATTAGTATATTGCAGATTAGTTGTGGAATTAGTCTTACCTCAGTCATTAATTTCCCCCCGGTTTGAATCTTCAAAGTGATCCACGATCAAAGTAAGCGTTCACACTTTCCATGGAAAGTCTTGCTTTTATATATATATATATATATATATATTTCAGCCAATTGCGATTAGGTATTAGTTTCTATCACCAGGAAACATATATAAAATATAATTGCGAAAAGGTTTTTTCCCGTTAATACTTAAACATGTTCCTTTCAAAAGCGTGTCTATAAATATATATATATATATATATTTATATTGCTGTTAGTTTCACCTGCCTTTAATTAATAGTGATGAGGGTCCAGAAGGTGAGCAGTATGAACAAGAGACATATATACATATATATTATTGACCATTGAACCATACTTTTGGTGTATATATTATCTATACGCGTCGTGTTGGTTGTTCAATTTAATTATATGGGCAATTATTTTAATGATTATCTAGATTTTGAGGTTAATTAGAAGGACACTAACATTTCAGTCCCCCCCAAAAAAAAACAAAAGAATGACACTACAATTTGGTGGCGATGCTAAGGTGCGGAGTTATGTGGTCCGGCATGCAGCGTAGAGCATATTTTCATTGACAAGTCTACATTCATTCTTATAAGTATAATTAATTATTTGTCATATCCATAATATAAGATTTACTTAATTAATCTCAACAAATTAAATAAGCTAAATAAATTATTTCATTCTAAAAAAAATTAGCATAGCCTTTTTAAAATAGCCCTGTGTCATATCATATTATATATCACTTTATAATTTAGATAAATGAGTTTTAAAAAATTCAGTAAATATAAAAGATAAAACCAATTAAATCTTACATTTAAGATCAAAATTAAATTCCTAACTATTTTTAACATTTAAGATGAGAGGAGTAGATTTGTTTGGGCCCCAAAACCTAAGCCTATCAAATTTGTGCATAACCCAAAGCAGGTTGGGTCATGATATTGGGCTGAACCCAAAGACAAATTTTGTTTACGATGTTAGAAGTTTCAATATTGAGAAGGAAAAAAAGAAGTTTGTAGTTAAATTTGGAAGGATAATCGAAAGACTTAAAAGTTTTAAAAAAATAAAGTATACTTTTAGTCTTTTAACTTTACACAAGATTTTATTTTGGCCCCTTAACTTTAAAAAGTAAACTTTTAGTCTTCTAACCCTAAAACTGTTAACAAAAAATGATGATATTAAACTCTTGAATGCTGATGAAATATTACTAAATGCTAACATATCAAATTTAATATTCAAAAAAATTATGATTGATACAAAAAATATCATTTAATACTAATAATTTTAAAGTTAAAAGACTAAAAGTATACTTTTAAAAGTTAAGAGACCAAACTGAAACCTTACATAAAGTTAAAGGACTTTTAAAAAAAATTAGGCTAAGTAGATTTAGGAATGATATCAATATAATAAGAAGAGAAATTATAAATTAGCGAAAAAAAGTTTCTATCAAATGATAGATGAGACAATGAAGAGAAACGTTAGAAAGCGCAAAGACTCACTTTTTAACACAACAAATATGAAGAGGTCGTGTTTCTCCAAAAGAAACACACAATCCCAGCAATGGCCGTGTTTCCCCAAAAGAAAAAATTTTAATGCATTTGAGTAGAATAACAAATTCTTGGTTCAAAGCTAATCTCAAACATCGAATATGTGATGTTTTCAATGACGAGTCTACTCATACATTCTAAACTGTCACAAAATGTAATATATTAAAGATGGTCTTATTACAAAACCCAACACTAATAAATAATACTCTTCCGATCCTAAATATAAAACCTTTTTTGAAGTAAAAATTACACTGTAAAAGGAGTCTTATATTTAAGATCAGAGAAGTATAACTAATTAAATACTTCTTGTTTCCTTGCTTCGAAATCTTTAAGTGAATAAATTTTTGCCTATACACCGTGACTTTTTTATTTTTCACCAAAAAAAAGGGCATACATCAATTGTTTAGCTTTCTTCCAAAGGCATATTTAGATCCCATTGCCACCTTCGATATATCATCCTATATTCTATTTAAATATATCGTTATCACTTTGGATTAATAACCTTTTCATGGAGACTTTCGAGATTCAATACTATTTAATTAGTCATGTTGCACTAAATTACTAAAGGAATTGCGCAGTTTGAAATTTTAAGTCGAAAATGTTAATATGAAAGCTTAAACACGGATCCAATATTTTTTTTTTCAACGCTTGATTAACTATAGTATTGCCAGAACTATAGTTTTACTTTAATTTATAACAAGTTACTTTTGCATATATATATATATATATATAAGCTAAATGATGGTACGTATACAAAAATACTTCATCTTGAATAATTGAGATTCTTCATGAAGATGTTTGATTTTTTTTCTTTTATTCTCTCTCTTGAAGCTGTTAATCAAGCCTTTGATTTTCTTGGGAGTCATATAATCAATACCAAATAAAGCCGTTGCTAGGGTAAGGATCATAAACGACTCTTTGATAGTAAGGAGGCGGAGGAGGATAGTAGGAACTATAAGATCCCACGTATTCAATTGGCTTCACTTCTTCTTCTTTCTCCTCTTCTGGTTTCTCATCTTGCACGCTCACAATTGTAGCATGCCCTAGCTTCTTCCTTAGCACGTTCGTCAACTCAACCGAGTCAACTCCATCACCCGTTACCACCAATTGGTCTCTTCCTTCTCCTTCTATTGACACCGACATCACTCCTGAAACACGATATATTATTGTTGGGATGTCAGATGTGAGTGAAAGTCATAATGATATATATATTGAAAATGAACTTAAAACTCTAGTGAATCCAATTATATATATACTACCTCCAGTCCTATTTATAGGATTTCATTTGCAAACTATAAATGAGATCTTATAATTAGGACCGGAAGTAGTATCTTTTAATTATTGCTCCTGCCGGATCAATTTATATTATCATTATTAGAATCCCTGTTTTTCAGAGCCAGAAACGTTTTTTTTTTAAAGAAATTCAGAATGGGAAGAAGAGGAAAATTAAATGTTGCATTATTCAAAGTTACCTGGTCTCACTGCTGCAATTTTCATGGCCTTGCTTCTGCATTTTTCATTGCGGACTTCCACCTTTATAATTATCTTTTTCTGAACCAAAATCACAAAACACATATATACTTCAATCGTTACACAGCTCCACAACTAAAATTAGCCAGTGTGTGGGATCAAAAATCAGTTTAGAGTAAACTCACCGGCATGTTCAAATTTTGAAACAATCAGATGGAACACAGTATAATATAATATTTCAGATGTTGTGCAGAGAGAGAACCTTAAATTCTGATCTGGTTGATGATTCTGGGTATAACTGAGTATAAGCGAGCTTAAATACACGCACGAAGTGGTGAGAGTTATTGTATTTTTTATGTTGACCTCAAGGTCCAAAACTTGCAATTTAAGTCAAGAGATGAGTACTTAATGGGCAACAGTATATTGCAGATTAGTTGTGGAATTAGTCTTACTTCAATAATTAATTTCCCCCCTCGTTTGAATCTTCGAAGTGATCCAAGTAAGCGTTCACACTTTCCATGGAAAGTCTTGCTTTTATGTTTCTTTTTTCAGCCAATTGTGATTAGTTATTACTACGTACCTCATGTCCTAATTATAAGAGCTAGTTAACTAATTTGAGGAGATTAAAAAAATAAGCTAAGTTAGTTATTTGTAATAAATAGGTGTTGTGTAACATTCCAAATTTATTTAGGTTTTAGAGTTAGCTAATTAATATATATATATATATATGAATTACATATATATGTATGACAATTAGAAGGAGTACGTTTTCCTTTATTATTTAAAAGGTATCACAAAATACAAGTGAGCTTAAATACACGTACTAAGTGGTGAGGTTTATTTTAGTTTTTTTGTATTGACCTCAAGGTCGCCGAGAGGTAAACCAAAGGTCCAAAACTTGCAATTCAGGTCAAGAGATGAGTACCTGATGAGTATTAGTATATTGCAGATTAGTTGTGGAATTAGTCTTACTTCAGTCATTAATTTCCCCCCTGTTTGAATCTTCAAAGTGATCCACGATCGAAGTAAGCGTTCACACTTTCCATGGAAAGTCTTGCTTTTATATATATATATATATATATATATATATATATATATATATATTTCAGCCAATTGCGATTAGGTATTAGTTTCTATCACCAGGAAACATATATAAAATATAATTGCGAAAAGGTTTTTTCCCGTTAATACTTAAACATGTTCCTTTCAAAAGCGTGTCTATAAATATATATATATATATATATATATATATATATATTGCTGTTAGTTTCACCTGCCTTTAATTAATAGTGATGAGGGTCCAGAAGGTGAGCAGTATGAACAAGAGACATATATACATATATATTATTGACCATTGAACCATACTTTTGGTGTATATATTATCTATACGCGTCGTGTTGGTTGTTCAATTTAATTATGTGGGCAATTATTTTAATGATTATCTAGATTTTGAGGTTAATTAGAAGGACACTAACATTTCAGTCCCCAAAAAAAAAAAAAAAGAATGACACTACAATTTGGTGGCGGCGCTAAGGTACGGAGTTATATGGTCCGGCATGCAGCCTAGAGCATATTTTCATTGACAAGTCTACATTCATTCTTATTAGTGTAATTAATTATTTCTCATATCCATAATATTACCTCCGGTCGTAATTATAAAAACTGGTTAACTAATTTCAGAAGATTAAGAAAATAAGTTAAGTTAGTTATTAGTAATAAATAGGTGTTGTCTTTTCTAACATATCGTGCTAATTAAGTTTATTAGCTAAAACTACCATTACTAGAGGGACTATCTTGGAAAAAATACATAACTATGAGAGATAAAGTGGATGGAAGTCTTATAATTAGAGCCAAAATAAAATTCCAACGAGGTTTAATATTAAAGACCAAAGGTAGTATGAGATTTACTTAATTAATCTAGATCATTTAAATAAGCTAAATAAATTATTTAATTCTAAAAAATTAACATAACCTTCTTAAAATAGCACTGTGTGTCATATCATATTATATATCACTTTATAAGTTAGATAAATTAGTTTAAAAAAATTCAGTAAATATAAAAGATAAAACCAATTAAATCTTACATTTAAGATTAAAATTAAATTCCTAATTATTTTTAACATTTAAGATGAGAGGAGAAGATTTTTTGGGCCCCCAAACCTAAGCCTATCAAATTTGTGCGTAACTCAAAGCCGGTTGGGTCATGATAGTGGGCTGCATCCAAAGACAAATTTTATTCATGTTAGAAGAAAAACCAACAGGGGTTGGTCCAAGTAGTAAGCTACTTGGTACCGTTTAAACGAGATCTCGATTTTGAGCCTCAGCATATGCAGAAATTCTTATTGGGAGACTCACCTACCACAGCTAAGTGTACGACGCGGGTCGGATCCAGATGTAATCGGAGTAAAACTCCGGTGAACTGGGTGGGCAACCAAAAAAAATTGAGGGGAAAAAAAAGAAGAAGTTTGTGGTTAAATTTGGAATGATAATCAAAAGACTTAAAATTTTAAAACAGATTAGGCTAAGTAGATTACAATCACTAGTACAATTTTACTAATTCAACTCTTTTTTTTGGGAGAGGTTAAATGGGTTAATAATACAATACCTATATTATTGGCTCTACTTTTACCTCAAGATCGGTTGATCTAATTTTCAACTCCATGTAAAATTAACTCTTAAACCAAATGAAGTGAAACTATGATAGGAAAAGAAAAATTCATGGACCAATATTGAGATTGGTAAAAATTAAAATAGGAGAATTAAAAAGTCATTTTTCCACTTTATTTTTACTCAACAATTTTTATTCATCTATTTATTAGGATTTAAATCAGAGTCATGCAAACCATGAGCATCTATCAATAGTCAATACAATTGTTTTTACCAGGAAAAAAATAAAGAAAAGTTTCAGGTAAAGAAATTGATACTAATAATTTTCTTAATTTGGATATTTATAATAGGTTTTCCAAAAAATTCGTGTAAAAATAGTTTGTATTATAATGTAAACATTAAAAGAGGATTTATACAAAAGTGAACTTTCAGAAATTTTCCGTTTTTAATTAATGAGCCGTGAACGCGAGTGGACGTCAAATGCCGATGCTTAAACCCTTGGGCCTTGGCGCTGACGTCACACTCCTTCGACGGCGCCGCCCGTAGCAGCTGGAAGAATTTTGGCCTTAGCCTCCTACGGCGGAAGTCGAGCAGCTCCAGTGTTCAAGTGATGGCATCTTACTTCTCTCTTCTGGTGATCAGGTGCCTAGCTTTTTCGTGTTTCTCTCTTCTGAATTTTGAAATGTCCAACCCGGAACTAGCCTGTGATCCTGTCCTCATTTTCAAAAACTCGAATTTATCTGTTCCTTTTATTTGGTTTTCGAAAACTGAGTCATTTGTTGCTGCTTTGTTTGCCGTGCTATTCTTTCAATGTTCGTCCATCATAGCCTGCTGAATCTTATTTGCTGTGTTTTGATGTCAATTGAATATAATTTGTTTAATGTTAGGGCTCTACCTTTCTTCAACGAGAAAATTAGTATCCATGAAGGTCTATGCAATGCCTCTATATACCGCACCACCAAAAATTGATTCCAGATTGAGTTAGATTCTTTACACAAGTTGCAGAGGACCTTTTCTTTTTCAATTCCACGCTGCTGAGGACTTTCTTCGTAATAAGTTCTGTTTCAGAGGAAGCGCGTTGGGAACCATTCTTTGGTAATTGACTAAGGTTCATCGTTGAGTATGTGTGCCACTTTTTCTCCTGGAGAATGCTTGAGCACATCAATTTATCTGAACTTTATCTTCCCTTCCTCTATTTGCTACATTGGAGGAAAATTTTCGTGAGCAACATTGATTTTGTTAGAACAAATCTCTTTTATCGTCCGTTGGGGAAATAGATCATTTGTTTACACAATCTAGAAAGCAATGAAAAAGATTTCATTTCGTCAATTTTCAGCTTTAATTGATCCATCAGCTGGCAATCGCATTTCCATTGAATCTTCAATTCCTCACAAACCGAATATAAGAGTTTCAAGCCCATTCCCTATCCCTCATCGAACAATACCTGAACCCAAAGGACAGGATCTTGATTTTGTAAATGTAGCTCACAGCCACCTAATTAACTCAGACTGGGCCAAACTAAACTTATTATCATCTGGTCTAACAGGTTTCAGGGTTAAGCATGTTCTGCTAAAAATTCAAAGAGACCATGTACTCTCACTTGAGTTTTTCAATTGGGTTAAAAGTCATAAGTCTGACTCGCTTACCCTTGAAACCTATTCCATACTTGTCCATATTCTCACCAAAAATCACAAGTTTAAATCTGCTGAATCCATTTTGCGCAATATTCTTGCTTCAAATGTCTTAGATTTGCCTTCTAAACTATTTGAAGCATTACTGTATTCCTACCGTATATGTGATTCTTCACCTAGGGCTTTTGACTCTCTTTTCAAGACTTTTGCTCATATGAAGAAGTGCAGAAATGCAACTGACACTTTTTGCCGGATGAAGGAGTATGGGTTTTTCCCTACTGTTGAGTCATGCAATGCATATTTAAGCTCTTTGCTTAAATTGCATAGAGCAGATATAGTTTTGTCCTTCTATAATGCAATGCTTCGTAATCGCATTTCACCAAATGTTTATACAGTCAATATGGTCATGTGTGCCTATTGTAAATTGGGAAAGCTACAGGAGGCTGTTGAAATGTTAGAGACGATGGAGAGCAGGGGTTTAAGTCCAAATATTGCTTCATATAATGTACTGATTTCAGGATACTGTAACAAGGGTCTTCTAGTTTTGGCCATGAAGATTAAATGCTTGATGGAGAAGAATGGGGTCCAGCCTGGAGTGGTCACATTTAACACACTTATCAATGGATTTTGTAAGGAGGGTAAACTACATGAAGCAAATAAAATCTTCACTGAGATGAAGGCCAATAATGTATCTCCTACTATTGTAACCTATAATACTTTGATAAAGGGATATAGTCAAATTGGTGACATTGAGCTGAGCAGTCAACTTTATGAGGAAATGTCAAGAAATCAGGTTAAACCTGATATTTTGACTTATAATGCTTTGATTTGGGGATTATGCAAGGAAGGTATGACAAAGAAAGCTGCATATCTAGTCAAGGACCTTGAGAAGGAGAACCTGGTCCCAAATGCTTCTACCTTTTCTGCTCTTATTACTGGCCAGTGTATGAAAAAGAACTCTGAGCGTGCCTTTCAACTTTATAAAAGTATGATAAGGAGTAATTGCCATCCAAATGAGCACACTTTCGAAATGTTGATATCTACCTTCTGCGAAAATGAAGACTTTGATGGAGCCATCCAAGTCATGAGAGACATGATGGGGAGATGCATGACTCCTGATTCTAGTATTTTGTCTGAGCTCTGCTGTGGACTTTGCAAGTGTGGAAAAAATAAAATTGCATCAATATTATGTGATGACTTGGAAGCTAGGCATCTGTTGCCCAGAGGATTTGACAAAGTGAAAATTATGAGCACCCCTGTAGAGAATGACAAACAATTGATGCTGCGGTATCAGGGAAAAAAAGAATGACAAACAACTTAGCTTGTGAGTTTCTATGCCCATAAGCATGTATGTTTTATGAATCTTAAAGCTGTCCATTACATGGATGTCTGATTGGAACAACATCTCTTACGCTGCATGCTTCAATGTAAGAAATGTTCGTTGAATCATCTATGATCTTATTATTCTGGTAACAATAGGTCCCTTGTTATTCCTTAGTTGATAATTTTTGCTTATGATGAATGGGGAGGCATGTATCGTGGCATATGCAAGTTACCATGCATTTGCTTCATTTTCCATTCTTGAAGTAGAGGAGTCAATAGACCCAAAGATCACTGTTGAACATGATTGCATTAACTAATTATTTTCTCTGATGTCCATTGACAGCCAAAGAAGTACCTTGAAAAAAAGGTGGAAATTGGTTGCATTTCCTAATGAGAATACTCCCTTGCCTAGGACTGAATACTTGCCGATCCCATAAGGTCCCTTCTAGAAACTTTGTATGCACATTATACTGGTATTTCGGGTTTGGTTTCTGATTTTAGTACTCAGCAGATTTATAGTCGCACAATAGCTTATTTGTTTGATGTTATCGCATGCAGGTGTGGACCAAAATGACACCTTAAATATCACTTGACATTAACATAGATGGTTTGGATGAATGCACTATCCTCAACTTATGATATGTAGTAGTTTTTGGAATCATGGGACTAGTTTAGTATTTTAGCTTAGGACAAAATTAAGTGAACCTTATGAGTCTGCTAACGAGTTGTCAAAATAATGTGCAGAGAAACTTTTTTAATTCATTTAATTAGACATATTTGTATGTGATATATTTATGAAATGAAATTAGCAAACATATCTTAGAGTGTTTCTTGTCTTTTATCTTATTATTTGTGAAATCCCTCCTTTATGATTATTGACGGTTCATTTACATTTGAATTTTGATTCCATCACGGGTTTTGCTCAAGGTAAATTCTAGTTCAATTGAAAGTGATTCTCTTTCGGGCCTTCGCACGAGGCAGCGACACTTGAACTAGTTTAACGACAAGCCCAGATCATCAGCAGTCACAAATTGATTCATATTATACAGTTAGAGAGATGGATGGGGAAAAATGTAAAGAGAAGCAAGTTTCATAAACGGTCCTGTTATCATGTGTCTTTCTCTTCTTGAATATATGCTAATGTACAACAGCTGAGGATCTAATATTGACTTATCAGCTCTGCGGCCTCCTCAGCTGCGATAAACTAGAAGTTGCTGATCCAGTTGCTAACGAGTGCAGGCATCTTTATGCGATCCTTTGGTGTTTATAGGTGTTCCTTTGTTTAATGGGTGCTTATGGACGGGGTCTTCTATATGGAAGTGCTATATTATTTACAGATAGCCTCATTGTCTGTAAATAGACAAAGGATATGAACATATTCAAATAAAATATTTAATTTGTAAAATTCCTTTGTGTCATGAGAGAGAGGCATGCTTGATTCTTCTTAATATCTTTATAATAATGTGGATTTGTCCAAATGTATTTTTACTCATTTTACCTTTGATTAATACACTCATTATTTTTTCCACATGTATTTTCTCTTATCTTTTTCCTCACTCTCATGATCTGCCTTACCCACTTATAAATAATGGCATATTAAAAAAAGTGTATTTCTTACACATTTATTATTTTAAACTAATTTTAACACTTCTCTATCTAGTTATTTGGATCTTACACTAGGGGATGGAAGGAGTATTATTAGTGATCAATTTAAAATAGTTGAGATCAAGTAATTCTAAAGTTATTATAATGAAGAGTATTAAAATTGAGTTTTTGTCTTAATATTATATAAATATTTTTTATAATCAAATTATTGGATATTTAAAAATCACATTAGATTCTAGTTAATGTAAGCCAAACCAAATAGGATCACGAAAATGACAAGGCACTCCTAACCAAATAGCATTCATTTACGAACGGAATGGCGTGGGGGGAGATAACGTGAGGTCCCTCGTATACAGACACTGGGTTCGTTTAGATTAACGATTAAAAAGATAGCTTACTATCAATTAGATTTTTAAAAAGGTTAGATTGGATAAAAGTTAAATTAGATGATGTAAATTGAGTTTGGATTAGATTTTATAAAAGTTAGTTTGTAAAAGTTGGATTAGGTAAAAATTTGTTTGGATTATAATTGAATAAAAGCAAGTTTAGTTTGTATAATTACCAAAATGGGTATGAGTTTTATTAGATAAAATGAAAAATAATAAAGAAATGAATTTACATAATACAATGAATTTAAGTTAGCAAGTTTAGTTTGTAAATTACCCAAATGAGTTTGAGTTTTATGAGAGAATAATGAGGGAGGAGTGAGAGAAAAATAATAATCTGACAATTCCAACAATCCACCAACATAAGCATGATTTTCACTTGAAAAAGCTATCTTAGATCAGCTTAATGTTAAGTGTGTTTTAATCCAGCTTTTAGTCTCCATATACAATGGCCCATAAGCTCTCCCAAACAGACTCTAATTTTCCAAACGGACTTATGATGAAAATAAGCTACTTCTGGGCTGACAGTCGCTGACCCAAACAGGATGATTCATACATTAAGCAATATAGTAATGTAAACGTAAATCATCATGTATAGGGTCATTTTTCCTTTTTTTCTTTTAACGTTCATAACGTTGTTTCTTTACATCTTAAAATCACACCATATATACGTATACTACCTTTTTAATATAAGATCTAATTGAGTAATTTAGAAATATTAAAAAAGCTAAATAAATTATTTTAAATATTTATATTTATTTTTTTTCAAACTAATTTTCCTGACTTACAAATAACTTATGAACTAGTATATAATATAATACTCCTTCATTTCTTAATATAAGACATATTTAATTAATTTGATTAGATTAAAGAAGTTAGTAAGTTAATTAATTATAAGAAATATGACATGTTTTTCCTAAAACATCATAATCATCTTTCTTAATATCCTCCCTCCCCCACTTATTTAATTATAGTTGAGGGAGTATCCATAGGGTAATTTAAGAAAAATTAATAAATATGAGAAATAGGTCTTATATTTAGGATCAAAATTAACTTAACAATTAGGTCCTATATTAAGAACTGGATGAGCAATATATATAAGTATTTTATAGAGGTAATGTAACATGTACTATATATAATTAAATAATCTATTTACCTTCATTAATTTTCTCAAATAAGTTAATCGGGTTTTATGTTAAGGATTCGGGGTAATAGTTACTCTAAAAAGCCATAAAAAATCTTAATTCAATATAACGAGAAATCATATTAAAAATATTAAAGGGAAAGAAGAAAGGAAATCATGTAGTCAAAAGGAAATATAGGCAACAAATGAAATGTATTTTGAAAGGAAGTGCAAATGGAGGGGGGGCGGTGGGGGGACAATAAGTAAGAGATCGGAGAGTCTAATGATGTAGCAAGAATGAAGGGACAAGCAGCAAGAATGGAGGATTGATGATTATTAAATATATAAAAACAAAAAAAAAAAGCCATGATTGGTAGGTACATGCACACAACTTCCATTAGATCCTATAGTCTAAGAGGAGATAGCCAATTATGGATTGATAATAATGATTGCAAGTGAGATGTGTGTTGGTCATAATGGTGGCACAAAAATGAGGGACAGTTGGTTCCACGCTCACTATAGTTTTGGCGCTTATTGCTCTGACCAACTTCCACATTCTCCACTTCCTCTAAAAGTAATCAATCATACCTCTCCATATTCCTTCACTAACCAACTAAGTATTCATTCCTTCCTTCTTGCCTTTTTTGTTATAGAATAAAATTTAGGTTAATTATGTTTAGGATAGTATTAATTATAAAGTATTCACAATCTTATCTACATGGTGTATCAACTTGATAACTTTATGGAGTTGAACCCATTCCATGTACTTATGCTTGTAATGAGTAGTTTTGATCTTTATTTCCTCTTTTTTTTCCATCACTATACTCCTCTGGTCCTATTTATAAGGCATTTTTAGTATGTTTCATATAGATTAAGAAAAATCTTAAACTTCATTAACTCGCATTTAAAATTTAATAACTTTTCAACTATATCTCTATTTAATATACATTATACCTTATGTAAACAAAATCAACATAATAATAAATGAGGGGTAAAATTATATATTCATACAAAAAATTTCCCTCAGTGTCTTATAAATAAGATAAAAAAAAAGTCTTCTATCTCTATCCTATAAATAGGACCAAAGAAGTACTTCCTGTCATCCTAAAAGTTGGTCCCTGTAGTTTTATAAGACTTTGAATTTTGAGTTTAATGCTGCTAACTTTCTTTGACAGTATTTTAAACAAGGTTATTTCTAATAGGAAAATAAAAGTGATAGCAAAAAAAAAAAATCTTTCCGAGGTAATTGAATTTCCTATTAAATCGTATATAAATTTGAACAAAACAATAGGTAAGAAATTCAAATACAGATCAGAAGAGACTACAGAAAATAAAAAATAATATAATATAGACAAGCTCATGACTCAATGCACGCCGCATGTTCATATAGATAATAATGATTGTAGTCAACAAACAAGATCTTATAATTAAGAACGGAGATAGTAGCATGTAGATAATAAATTATACCAAGATATTAGAGGTGTTCATATTGTGGTGCGCATACAATTTGACATGGACATGCAGATATATAGTATTAGGGTTGAGGGATGAGCGAAACAATTTAACTTGAAAGACTGCTATCAACCACCCAGTATAGATTAAAATAAGTTGGGTTTTTATCTATTTAATAAATGGGTTAGACTAGCTCGCGCCAGTCAAAACATGTTAGTATAACCTGTTCTGAAAAAAATACATTTTTTATAGGAAATAAATATGAAAGTTATCTTTTACTTTTCTAATAGACAAAGATTCGGATCTGTAGACATGCTTTAGACTTAAATTCAATAAGTTCAATCTTTGCAATGATTCAAACTGAAATTCAAAGCAAGGCCAAAAAAAAAACCTCAAATTCAAAGGACATTTATGACTTTAAAACGGAAAATGTATTTTATATCAGAAAAATATCTGACTGCGTCTTGAAAAAGAAAAAGGGAACCCAAAAGAAGACTTAGACCGGGACAAAAATCGAGAACGTTTTATGCTCTGATTTGGATAATCTTTTAAAGTGTGCTTGCACTAATAGTGATAAAATTGATTTTTATTTTATCTTATTTTTGTAAAATTTAATTAGTATAATGTAATTTATGTTTAAATTGATTTTTATAAAAACCAGTTTTATATATTGAAACTTGTTTAGATAAGTAATAAAAAAATAACTTTAGATGTAAAATAACTAAATTGGGTGTGATTTTCTCCGAACTAATTTATTTGACTTATAAATTTATTTATAATCAAGTGATATGTATAAATATTTTAGAGAGATCGTGAATATATGATATAATCAAATAATTTATTTAGCTTTTATAATCATCTAAAATTAGTTTATTAAGTCTTATATTAAGGAGTGAGACAGGACATCACATGTTTATAATTTGATAAATTTAAAAACATAATAAATGAAAAGTAATTAAATTAAATTATTGCTGGAAAAAAAATCAAATTATTAGATTAAAATAGGACCCAATTAAATATTTTTATCTTTTTTTTATTTTCATTTTTTTCTCTCTCCGCAATGCAGCTGCAAAAGCTAAAAATTTCGGCTTTCTAATGCAGCCAAGTTTTAATCTATCATCCGGTTAGAGAGAGGGAGAGCAGAAATAATGCAAAGGGACCTAGAAGTTTCAATTTAAAATCGCATATATTTTCATTCCTTCACTCCAATATTATGTAGAGGGTAGAAATACTGCCCAAAAAAAAAAGATGTAAAGGGTAGAAATACCTAAATTCATGTATAAACTACAGAAAAATCCCATGTTCTTCAATTCCATAAGCTAGCATTTTGTTTATGAAATATAGAAGAATATATTAATAGGTTCGAAATTTAAAATAAATAGTGCATATACAAGGAGGCACAGACTCGCTTGAGGGTCAATCCCTAGCTTGTTGTGTATAATATAGGGTCATTTGACTGCATATCATTATCAAGTAAGGTAAAGTATTTCTTTTTACTATATTTTTGAATTACAAACTATATCTTACATTAAAATTGGAGGTAACATTTTACTATAGTAGTTTGGTTACATTTTGATGTACTTATCATTATTATATTGTAAAGTTTGGTTATGTAAAATCTCTTTATATCACTATTGTTTCTTAATATAAGAGTTAGTTGGATATTTAGTTTAGTTCCAGATATAAAATCTCAATTCATTTTATTTTTAATATTTATTCATTTTGCCTCCTGAGTCATTTCTGTAATGATTATAGATGTTAAGAAGTTTTTATAAATAGGTAGTTTTAATACATATAATTAATAGAGATATTTTAAGAAAGATAATATTTATTTATTATAAATAATTAAGTTAACTAATAATTTTAATATTTATAAATTAATTATTTAGGTTTTATATTAATGATACTAAAAACTGAGATGAAAAATGATGCATTGATATGATAGTCGTTAAAAGAATAAAGTGTCATAATGTCGTTCACTATCACCATGCATTATCCTCTACCACTAGCAAACTGCCCACCACTAGGCAGAGTCCTCTGCCATGGCTGGTCATTGGAAGGCATGTCAATCTTTTTAATTTTAATTTTCATGTAACTTAAATGAATACAAGATTATTATTACTTGTTATTTTGATTTTAAATATAAGACTTATTTTGTAATGTAATAATTTGTTATATTATTTTTTGTAGTTAATTCTTAAATATAACATTATAAAATAAGTCTTATATTTAAAAAATAATACATTATATGACATTGCATTAGGTGATAATTACTGAGCTTTTTGTGGTTAATTAACCAATCCCAATAAGAAAAACTATCAACGCCCATATAGTACATCAAGTTATGCACTCTTTCTCGTGTTTGTTTGGGGGAGGGGAACATAGATTATACATATGGTCAAATGTTTATTTTATCATAATACATAAGATAATTTAAAATTTTATTAATTTTTATCAAGTATATGTGATTTACTATTTTTTAATAATTGTGTTCTTAATTACATACAAAATTTAATAAGCCAAATGCATATTTCATATTTGTATATTGATATATTCTATAAATATATATTTCATCGTAATTTTTTTATCTCACACAATTTCAACATTTACGCACACAAATATTTCAATACCAAACTGAAGTCTAGAATATTTGACCTCACGTAACTAATGACACTATTATTGGAGTAACTTACCATCAACAAATATTTGACCATAATTAGTTTATTTGTAATGCAAAATTCGTAGTATTAAAATTGTGACTCATTCTATTTTTCATAAAAATAATTTAATAATCTTCCAATCGTAAATATAAGACGTATTTTGTAGTGTAATTAATATAAGACTCATTTTGTAGTGTAATATCATGATTATTACACTATTATTACACTACAAAATGTGTCTTATATTTTTGCACTATTATATTTAGGACTGGAAGAGTATTTAATATCATGATTAACCTAAATTTAACTAATGTTAGGCTTAAATGATAGTTAGTACTTGAAACATGGTTTTTTTTTTCAATTTGTAAATATCTAATTCTCTCTTGTCAAGTCCCATGCTTAATTCACTGGATTAACATGTAAATCTGTCTTGAAAGTTTTTATTCAGAAATATTGGGTATCTGAAAGTTTATTTAGATACAAATTTGCTTTCTAAGTTTAAAATCATACCGATTTTGCCTCCAACCATTAATCAACGTTACTATTTTGACAATTAACATTAGCTTTTTAGTAATAAGAGATAAAATTGTTACTATTAAACTTTCAGAGCAAATTTATACTCTTAGCAATTTTTTGGTACTCAAGTAAACACTTTATTTGCAATTTAACCCTTAATCCACGTCTTCTTGCATAAAAAAAAGTGCAGGCTTTTAAAATAAAATAAAAAAAGAAGGAGAGACTCAGAGAGACACCTTATAATAATGAACTAATCCGACCATGATTTAAATATATTTTCATAAAAGGGAAAGTGCAATTTGTTGGATATCTTATTATTAAAGTGATTTTATAGAGACACATAAAGCTTGAGAAATCTCAGACACTTCCATTTGGGTCCCTCACTTTGTGTCCTTATCTCCCACCTTTTTGTCCTTGTTCCTTTCTGGTCCTTCCTCTTCTCACTTTTATAGCCTACCCCTTCTACTCCCCTCTCTCTCATGTCTTCCTCATCATCTTCTTCTTCGTCTTCATCTTCCCCTCACGATAGTCCCAATCATAACCATAATGCTGGTGCTGATCCTGGCCCTAGCTCAAGAACAATCTCATATTCTGACGAGCCCACTTCGTCTCGTCCACGTCGTGCCATGAATGATGTTTGGCCTGATCTTTTTCTTGAAGACTTAACCGTCCAAGTCGCCACTGATGCTTCTCACTCTTCTGGTCGTCTTTCTGCAGCTCCTGCGCTTGCCAACTTGTTTCAGGTAACTTCCATTATCGTTACTCTTTGAATTCCAGGTCAACTACAATACATCATATAACGTATCTTTACTATGTCAGCTTCTTCTTCGTTTTTTTTTCTTTGGCTTTTCTCTGTGTAATATATGATTTGGTTGCCTTTACGGTAGGATTTGTCTTTTTGAATGTATGAATGAGAAAAATCTGGTCGGAGGAAGTAGTGGTTATAACAGATCCGAAACTGGACAAAGTATGGGTCAAGTCAAACATGAAGAGTTTTGCTATCTGCAAAAGAAAACTGAACTCTGCCTTTTAGTGGATATCGAAATGATGAATCCAAGGGAATTTTATTTTTATTTTGTTTAAAAAACTTCTAAAATTGTTTTTTTTTGTTGGGGTTCTTTGAATGCATTGATTCATGGTCTTAAATTCAAATCAATGCATATAGAGAGACGAGTGGTAATGTAGGTTTAGTGTTCATGGTAGGAAAACTGTTTCATGGGTCATTTTCAAATAAACAAGCAATGTAATGTATATATTATTGTATTATTATGTGTCCCTGTCAGGTGGTAATACTTCTTTAAAAATGTCTATTTTTGGACCTCCTTTTCATATCCAATCAAAAAAGGGTTCTAAAAAATGGCTTGGAATTTGCTGTTCCTTTTCTTGGCATGAACCTCTCTCCTTTTTTGACTTGGCTCCCCTTTGGTTCCCATATAACATCCATTCTTTGCCTTTCTACCTGTAGATAGAGACCCTATGTCCTTCAAACTTAGTTTCGTGATGTGTTCATATAAGCATTTATGTTTCGTCCTGAGTAGTCTTCCATTTCCATATTTAGTTAGCTTTTGAAATGCAGAAAATATGCGGTTTTATTTCCATTCTTCAGTTTCATATTTAAGAACAATTTAATACGTTACAGGCTTTTTGTTCCTAATAAAAATAATATATACCAGAGAAGAATCGCCTTTACAGTAGACTAGTACTACGTGAGAAGACATATATATATATATATATATTGGAACCATTCTTCGTCCCAGTTCCACAAACAAGTTTTTAGCCAAGCCTCCATAACGTCTATAACTGGATTTATATATAATACAATAAAAATATATGTGTTTGTCACTTTCTCTCAGTACGGCTACCAAGGCCTAGCGAACCAAAGCATTCTATCTTTTTTTCTTGGTTTTTTAAACCTCATCTGTTTGTGCTCTACAATAGATCAGTACTTTTTAGATTAGCGAACGGACATTGGAGGACTCGGGAGAACTGAATGAACATGCACCTAAAACGACCGAAGGTTATTATATACTACTATGCATATTATTGTTGGAAATGGGTAGTATCATATCATATTGTACGAAATTGAATATTTAATGTTGTTCGGTAAGGAGGGGTTTGTGTTAGGGTTAGGGGGGGTCAGAACACAGCAGGAGAAGTACCTCGTGATGTGATTAGGTTTTGTTATGTGTGACAAAACAAAAGCAGTCAAAAAAACAAAATTTTTTTAAGTAACATGTGCCTATGTAATGCCAAAAAGCACATGGAGCCCAATGCCTGTCTTCGTAAACTCCTGCTACCCTGTCACCTTCTATAACGTTATGTTACGTGTAGTCTTCTCATTCCTTTTCTTGCTATTCTTCCCAGATAGTCACATCAACGTTTTCAACTCTCTTTTTCTCTCCTCTCCCATATCCATGTTCATAATATGACATAATTTGAACTGTACCTGGGTTATCACTATTAGGGCTTAAACTGTTGGAGATCAGGTGGTTTAGTGCCATCGTATAAGGTCATGCTTATATATAATAAACAAACTGGAAGGATTATATTAAGCTTGTAATGAAATGGAGGATTTGTTAACTGTACTGTTGTTAAACTCCTACTGTGATTTACTACTTTCATAATAAATTTTCAAGGTATTTAGTTAATTTAATTTGAGGTTTGGGTGTAAAGATATTGATCTAAGCTGGTAGCCTGAGAGATTATTATTAAGAGTCAGGAGTTGTTGGGGGAGTGTGGAAAAAGTAAGAGATTCGCAGCTTTCAACAAAGACAAACCCTAGGTCACACCTTTCTTGGAAATGAAAGAGAAATGGCTGTTGCAAGAAGCACGCTTTGATCCCATGTTTCATATGCACATCCTCCACACAAGACCCCGGGGGGGGGGGGACCCTAAATTTTATTGTAAAACTTGACCTCTTGATTTAACCAGCACAAAAATCACACTAAAATATTATAATTATTCATGAAAATTAGTAAAAAACTTCAGTAAAGATACTATATATACCCACACAATTACAAGGGAATTGTTATCATTAAAATTAGGAAAAAAATTTTACTGTCTCCCATAATGTTGTCAATTCAATAAAATAAACAGAAAGGAGAAGTCTGTGTGTGCATGTGTTGGAGGGAAGAAGAATGGGACCACAAGATAGAAGAAAGTAGAGAACCATATCTTTCAAGTCATTACTTTTGGCTATCATAAAGCTCTTGTTTGGTGAAGGGCAACCCCAGCTGAGGGAAGTAGCCTGCTAGGGTAACACTTGAAACCCCTCCCTACCACTTCACCTTTTTCTCTCTTTGACCCCAATCCTTCTGATATCTTTGACTTCACTTTTAAATAATTTCTCTGTCCAAACATTACTTTATGATGTGAGCTGCATCTGAATGTTCATGGATTATGCAAAAAAGATTGTACTTGGTGTACCCTCACTGGGTTGTGTAATAACCAACAAGTTAGGTAGCTATCACAGATCGGTCATGTTTCCTGTACCAAGTGTTAGGCATATCACGAGAGCCCTCTTCTTTTTTCCCTTCATGTGTTATAAATATCACACACAGTGTATGGTATTTATAATTCATTATAGTACCATTCCTCTGTAACAAATATTCCACTCTTAGCTATACTTCCCATCACTACATGACAAAATCTGATCATTGTCCATTATAATGCAACCTCAAAGGACACTGCCCTGCTGGGTTTCTTTTATTGTACATGTACATTTGCCAAAGTAAATTCATTCACAGCAATCATAACCATACCTTCTGGGTGCATTCTTCTTTTCGTTTTCTTATCCTCCTAGTGATTACAATTACAGTAACGCGGATGGTTATGAAGAGCTTATTAGGATGAAATGGAAAACTGGAAATGATTCGAATATACTTTGCAGAATAATAATAACAACAACAAGGGAGTTTAATGAATGTGTTTGTTTCTGTGAGGATTCGAATCTAGCGTGGGTAAGAGGAGATTAATTAATTGATAACGAAGAGTGAGAGAATCGATGAGACAGGGACAAGCTGACAGCTAGCTTATGAGCTCTGCTACTGCTCTCTAGTGCCTAGTCTCTCCTGCTTCTCTTGTTCTTCTATCTCCTCCTGCTCTATCTGTAATCTGTATTCCTCTAGCCCTAGCCCTAGCCCTGCATCTCTCATTTATTTCTCAAGCCTACGCGCATGCCATTGTCACCACCAGATGATGCCATCATGCTGTCCCAGACACAACCATTCATTCTCTCTCTCTCTCTCTCTCTCTCTAACTCAGATCCTCCATTGCCCTCTGGCTTCAGCCAGGCCCTTTCGTATTTCATTTCGTTGCTCAAAATATGCTGTCACAGTAATAAATACACAGTAAAACAATAACTTAAAGGAAAACTGATACTCCTGTGTAACTTTTGTTGATGAAATTTGAAATAAAATTCGGTGTTTTATAAGCTTTTCACGTTATTATGTATTCATTTATTCATGATAAGACTGCTCTCCGACGACCCAGCATTATAAACAGTGGAACTCCTTCGTAAAACTGTGCCATACTGCTTTTTCACTGTTATTTATTCTGACTCCTCATTGAATGGGAATGTCGGTGATGGACAACTCGATGGGGGAATAGTGTTGTATCATGTCTATTGTCTAGAGTCTAGACATTCGAATATTTCAGATTCATGTAATTATTTCAATTCAATATTATTTATTAAAGTTGTTGCTTGGTTCATTTTTTGAATGCACGCAGGTTTGTTCGAGGTGGCGGGCTGTGTCACGGTCGGATCGCCTGTGGCAGCAGCTCACCGAGAGGATATGGCGGCGCACAGTGCAAGTGCGAGACACGTGGTATGAAGAGTTCATTCACTGGCACCGAATGGCCAGGAATTTCGTCGCCGGCAGATATGCTTACGCCTCCCTGTGGTTTGGCCCGTCGGACATGGATGACGACCACTACAGCACCGTGATCTGCCGCTGCCTCACCCTCTCCGATGAACATCTCGCCTGCGGCTTCACCGACGGCACCGTCCGCCTCTTCCACCTCGATACTCGCGTCCACTTCAGGACATACCGGTCCCACCAAGCCAACCGTTTAGGTCCCTTCGCGAGATCCGTGTCTGGCATCGTGATCGCTGACAACAGGCTCGTCTTCGCCACGCTGGACGGGGACATCTACGTGGCACACCTCGACGAGCCAAATGGTCACACCCGTAGGGCCCGCGTCGGTGACGTGGTCAATAGCGGAGTCCTCGTAGAGTTCGCCGGACGTGGCCGTTGGTGGGTAGGACTCTTCGCCGGGCTCCCGGGCCAGGCGTTTCAGATTTGGGACGCAGAAAACGAACAGCTCGTGTTCATCGGGGGATCCTTGACTGACCCGGAAACCGTCATGGGTTGGCACATGCTGACGGAGTTGATCGAACCGGTGGGTCGGCTTCGGGTGACGAACCAAGGCCTGGCAGTGGCATGTACGAGCTCACAGCTCATAGTGTTCGACCTGAACAGCCAGATGTTATTACATGAGCTCTGGTCCACTGTGGGCGGCTTCATTGTAACATCGATGGACGTGAACGATGAGGCGTTCTTTATCGTGGAAAGGAACGGCGACGCTAAGGTGCGCCTGGCGGGCACGTTAGAGCTGCTATGTGAATTCCGGACACGTCCGTTGAGGGGTTTGATGGGATGCAGGAACATGGGGTACGCGCTAACGTGCGCCGGGGGTGTGGTGAGGGTCTGGGACATTGAGCGACGGCGGGGACAGCAGCGTTCGGTGGTGGCAGAGAGGGTGGGGGAGGGGATGGCCATGGTGTGCAGCGAGAGACACGTGGCCATTTCTTGTAATGACAGGTCGATACACCTTTGGGATTTCGGTGTATAAGTAGGCAGAGGAGTAGGCCCGTGAAAAAAGTGTGAATTTTTTTATAATTCAAATGTAAGGGGAAATTATTGGCCGAAAAATGTAAGGGGAGACGGGATTTAATTGTTACATTGATAAATCATATATTATTCATTATGAAGAACAGTGTATGGTAATTTTTATTTTTAAGAATATAAATAAAAGGAATCTAAAAAGAAAATGGAAGAAGAGGAAGGAGGGGGCAGGGTTATTGTTAGAGCCGGGAAAACGGGCCGAGCCCGTCGGGCCGGCCCTTTTAGGCCCTGAGATTATGAGGGCCGGGCTTGATATTTTTCTCTTAAAATGAAATATAAGCCCTGGAGGGCTGGCCCTGGAGGGCCGAGGGCTTAAAAGGGCCGGCCCTGGAGGGCCACGGGCCGGCCCTTTTAAGCCCTTTTATATTTTTTTTATTTTTAAAATTTTTTTATATAATATTAATGTTATTAATTTTTTACATTGTTAATAATATTTCAAATATTTAGTTATTATTATCATTTTAAAAGTAAATTTAGTTTTAGATAATAATTTATCCAATTAAATTTTTAAAAAATGGGTTAATTTGGACTTTAATAATGATTTGATTTATATTATATGCGTTGATATTTTTAAACTATATATATATTTGATAATAGAATATTTTTATACTTATATAACTTGTGATTCTATAATTTGAATTAGAAATTCATGAGTTTTAACAGCAATGTTTCTCACATTAAAGTAAAAAAATAGTTAGATTGCAAAATTTAAAAATAAAATTCTTATAAAGAAGAAAAACTTGATATTTTTGTTACGAAAGAAAAGTATACTTATGAAGAAAAGTAATTAATTATAGTGATGATGAAGTTTCAAAAGATTAATAATAGTGTTTATTTATTGTACAATTGCATTATAGATAAAACTTTTAGATGTTGTTATCTTGTTAATGAATGTTTTAGATGTTCTTAGATGTTGATGAATATTTATATATGATGATATTTTATATGTGACTTAATTTTATTCATATTTATGTCTTTTATTAATAATTCATTGATTTATTTTTATAAAAAATATGATAAATATAAAAAATAGTATTTTTTCTTAAACGGGCCAAAAGCCCGCGGGCCGGCCCTGGCCCTGTAGCTTAAGGGCCGGGCCTAACAAGTTGGGGTATTTTTAAAATTCCAGCCCTGGAGGGCCAGTCCTTTTAAGCCCGCCAGCCCTGAAGGGCCGACCCTGGAGGGCCGGGCCGGCCCTGATTCCCGGCTCTAGTTATTGTTGTATATAATTGATGAAGCATGGGAAGGTGGCAGACGTTCTGTTGTACTCGGCTCACCTTCTGAATCATCGATTGGCTACCTTTTTAGGGATTCAGATTTGCTTTATTAAATATTACATCTGACAAATTGTTGATTAATTTAAATAAATTAAAAAAATAAATTAAATTAATTATTTATAATAAATATATTTTTTTAAAAAAATATTTTTCTTAATCAAATTTATTAGTTAGACCTATAAAAGAATAATTATCTTAAAAAAATAAATAAATATAAAAAACAAAATAAATTAGAATTTTATATTTAAAACAAAAATAAAAATTAAATGAAATTCTGTATTATTAGGAACCGGAGGTAGTTTTAATTATTATATACACATATACACACATATGAGAGAGAGAGAGAGAGAGAGAGAGGCAGGGGGGGATTTAGGGCGGATTTTAAGGAAAAAAAACAAAGAAAACAAAAGATCGGGAGGGAAGGAAGGAAGGAAGCCGGTGGGTTAAAGGGTGGAATCACAAGGGGGAAGGTGGTCAAAGAAGGGCAGCACTGCATGATCAGAAAACAGAGATATGTATGGGAAGCTTTTGTACGGATCACATTTCTTCTTTAGTGTACCTTCCACTTGGAAGCCATGTTGAGCAAAACAATAGTATATATAAATTCAGTATTTTATTTTTTTTAAAAATCCAGACTCCAGAGCGTATGAAACTCCAATGGCGGGAGTAAAGTACTGGCACTACTAAAATTGAACTTACCATTGTGTCCTAAAAGTAAGATACTGATTCACTTTTGCGTAGTTCAATCATACATGGATTGGTCATAGGTAAACTAAAAATATATACTCGTCCGATCTTTAATATAAAATATATTTAACTAATTTGATTAGATTAAAAAAGTTAGGTAAATTAGTTAATTATAAGAAATGTGACGCATTTTTCCTAAAACACCATAATCATCTTTCTTAATACCCCTTCTCACTCTCCTACTTGATTATGGTTGAGAGAATATCCATACGAGTAATTTAGAGAAAACTGATAAATATGAGAAATGAGTCTTACATTTAAAACTAAGACCAACTCAAGAATTGGGTCCTATATTAAGGACCGGAGGAGTATATTTTTATTTTATACTGATTATTTTAAATTTGAAGCGACAATATGCACATATCATTAATGGGATTAAGGGGTGTTTGAATTAGTTTTTTGTGATTGATTTTACAGATTTTGAGATACGCGTGTGCGGAGTTACGCACAAGCACTTTTGCTAGGAAGGGTTGCCAAGCTCTGCTTAATACATTCAATACTAGGAAGTTAATGGAAACTTTGCTTTGGCAGTTCATTTGAGGAGACATTAGCCATTTTATTCCAATCAAATTCTCTAAGCTCCATGGAGTATGGGGAGCGTAAGCCCCAGGAGATATGGATTTTGGGGTTTCACCATCGGAAAAAGTATTTGAAGTTGATAAATGCCTGTTCTTGTGGTGGATGAATTTTCCATGTGGGACAGCACTTTTATATTAATTGAAGCCAAGATACTAGGATCAGTTCTTAATATAAAAGCAGTTGAATAATTTAAGTAGATTAAGAAAATTAGTTAAATTAGTTATTTATAACAAATAATTGTTGTATTTCTTAAAATATTCCTGTTAATAAAGTATATTGACTATAATTATCATTATTACAAGGACTACTTTGAGAAAAAATAGATATATATAAGAAACAAAGTGGATTGAAATTTTATATTCAAGACTAAAATAAATATTAAACAAACTATTCTATTAAAGGTCGGAGGTAGTATATAATTGAATCTTTATTTCGTCGAATATATGCGTAACAAGATTTCTCAAGCATCTCAAAATGTAAAGCGCTGGTGAGATTTATTTTGTGAATTATAAAAACGAGAGAAGATCGAAAATGGAAATTAATTTACGCAAACGTTACAAGTCCTGCGAGGGTTGGCGTGTTCATGTCTGGACACTCCGTGAAGTCAAAAATTGAGTAACTTGGATGATCGAACACACAAGTTTCAACTGTATTGAGAATCTAGCTACAATTTATATTGAAACTCATGTCATCAGTATTTAGAGGTTTTAGAAATGCTTGGCAGTTATTGACTCATGGAAGGAAAAACATGTAGTGTTATGAGAGATCTGTTAGTGATGTTCAAGAGTAATTAATTTGGATATACAATCTGTGGAGTGAGGAGGAGCAAATTGAAATGAGAAGCAAAATAAGGCAGACAACGTGAGCCTAGCTGTGTATCTGGTATGAAGTTTGCGTTGCGCCCTCTCGTACGTGTTTTCGTGTTGGATGTTGCAGGTATGCTCTTCCAGTCCTTAATATAAGAACTGGTTAACTAATTTGAGTAGATTAAAAATATTTGTTAAGTTAGTTATTTGTAATAATTATATATTATCTTTATTAAAATATGCTTACTAATCATATATCCAACTACTAGAAAGATTACTTTGAAAAAAACAGATAAATATAAAAAATAAAGTGGACCGGGGGTGGAAGAATTTCTTAGCAGAAGAAGACGAAGAAGATCATAAATTTCAATATTAGAATCGCACTTCTGTTTGGGTCTATTGAGTTGTTGTAGTGTTTGGTTTATTTCGGTTTGGGCCTAGGAGTTAATTAGTTGAGCCCATCTGATGTGTAGGTCTATATATATGGACAAGGCCTGTTGTTGTATGATGATTTTTTTACATTGAATAAAAGTATAATTCAGCATCCTGCGTGTATCTCTGATAGTTAAGATGGCATCAGAGCACGGGTCAGTCAAGATCCGTTGATACCGGTTCAGAAGGGCCCAGCAACCGGAACCCGTATTCTTCCAAATCCCTCATCCTTGACTGCGATTCAAGAATGAACAGGTAAACCACTGCCGAAGACACCCACGCAATCTTTCAATCACCCTGATTCAAGAATCATCTCGCGATTAGAGTCCCGTGAATTCTGATTTGACGATGACGAGAACGGTGGGAGAAGCGAAAGGCTCCGATGACGGAACAATTGATTTCGGGAGCCCGCTCTACCTCCATCCTTCGGATACGCAAGGCACGTCGATCATTACTCAGGTGTTGACGGGAAGTGAGAATTACGCGATTTGGAGCAAGGCAATGTTAATTGCACTTCGAGGTAAGAACAAGACCGGCTTCATAGATGGATCGTGCGAAAAGATTGAACAAGATTCGCGTCTCAAGGAACACTGGGAGAGGTGCAACGCCGTGGTGTTCTCTTGGATTTTAAACTCGGTTTCCAAGGATCTTGCGAACAGTCTCATATATCTACAAGATGCACGGATGGCTTGGGAGGACTTGCGAGAGCGATTCGACAAGGTATCTGGGTCAAGGATATTTTCTTTACACCGTGAGATTAATTCCTTACGTCAAGGCAATCTTTCGGTTTCTGCATATTATTCGCGTCTCAAGGAGCTATGGGAAGAACAGAGTAATCTGATAGCAATTCCCTCCTGTACGTGCAATACTTCTAAATTGTATAGTGAAGCTGTGCAAAGGCAAAAAATGTTACAATTTCTGATGGGCCTGAATGAGGTTTATGATAATTCGAGGAGTCAAATACTCCTAATGGAACCCCTTCCGACTGTCAACCAGTCTTATGCGATGATTCTTGAAGTGGAGTCACAGAAGAACATTGCAAACATGGAGAGAGGTAACCCCATAGAGGGAATGGCGATGGCAGCCCGAGGCAGAGGAAGGGGAAGAGGAAGGGG